GCTCCCCCAGAGACTTAATCAAGAAAACCTTTTATAATTATTTTGCCTCAGTTAGTATTTAATTTAGTATTTAGTTAATAGCCAGTTAAGGTTTTTTTTTGCTAAATAATAATAAATAAATAAATCAGCTCACGGAAATTTTCGGATCAAGTGCTCAGCTCAACAATTTTTAGACCGATTCTTAAAAATTTTCCTTTGTCTATTTCATCATCAGTTTTTCCAACTATCTGGAAGGACTCTTTTAATATTCCACTTCACAAAAAGGGTGCGAAGGCGGATGCCCAGAGTTATAGAGGTATTTCTAAATTGTCGCCAATTCCAAAAGCCTTTGAATGTATTACACATGCCGACAGTGTTTTTGGTGCAGCCCTATGGGCATTAAATTGTGTTAATATAGACGGATATAAGCATATCTGCATACTTACTTTTCGAGTTTAACGGGTGGTATTTGTGCATTCGCGGTTTGAAAAAAATAGCAACATTTAATTTTTTGATATAAGATATCTTCGAGGGTCTGTGCTTAGTTGTAATAAAGCCTATGCCAAAATAGCTTACATGCCCTTCTACATAATTGCATTTAAGGTTCCATCATAATTTGAGTTAATCAAAGCCTATGAGCCATTGAAGTAATTTGTTCACCTCTATTCCCAACCAACTTGATGCGGTGAACAGGCTTACAAAAATACAAGAAAAAATATGTGCCCTAAAATATTTGACAGGCATCTAGAGGCGTCTTTTCCCGAATATTGGAGATACATACCACTATTGTACTTCGAAGGATGGAATTTATAGAATTTTTTACGTAAGAAAGTGACTAGTTGGTCGTGCCTTCACACAGTAGGTTTTTTAAAGATAGCAGTGGCGTAGCCTTAAAATTGTGGGGGGAGATTTTTAACAGGCATACTAACCCCTTGAAAATACAATTTTTCGATGTTCGGCGCCTACTGCTAACCAAATTGAAAGGCAAATTTTTATGAATGTGTCAGATATTTATGTAAAATGGGGATTTAAAAATACTTGATACTTTAACGTTCTTACGGAAAAAATTCTATAAATTCTATACTTCGACGTGCAATGGTCTTATTTGTCTTAAAAATTCGGTGAAAGACGCCTCTAGATGCCTGTCAAATATTTTAGTGCACATATTTTTTCTTGTATTTTTTTCTGCCTGTTCACCGCATCAAGTTGGTTGGGAATAGAGGTGAACAAATTACTTTAATGGCTTATAGGCTTTGATTGACTCAAATTATGATGGAACCTTAAATGCAATTATATAGAAGGGCATCTATGCCATTTTTTGGAATAGGTTTTAATACAATTGAGCACAGACCCTCGAAGATATCTTAAATCAAAACATTAAATGTTGCTATTTTTTTCAAACCGCGATTGCACAAATACCACCCGTTGACAATTCAAGTATGTCATCTATTATAATAAATAAATTTTAACAATAAAATGCAGACTGGCGTTATATATACCGATTTCAGTAAAGCCTTTGACTCTGTTAACCACTCTCTTCTTTTATTCAAACTAGACTTGTTTGGGTTTCCATGTAATCTTTTAACTTGGATTTCAAGTTATTTGAATGGGAGGACTCAGAGGGTTATATCTAAGAACGCTGTTTCCAAAATGGCCCACGTGACATCTGGAGTGCCCCAGGGTATTCATTTGGGCCCTTTGCTCTTTACTTACTTTATTAAGGATCTTCCCTCTATCATAACACATTTTCGCTTACTAATGTATGCTGATGATGTTAAGCTTTGTTTGACATACAATAATATAGAGTCTGGTTTTGGCCTACAATCAGCCATTGATCATTTTCAAGTATGGTGTGAGTATAACCTTTTAAATTTCAACTGCCTGAAATGAAACGTAATGACCTTCCATAGGCTTTTAAAGGGTGTTGGAAATAAGTCCCCAAAATAAAAATGAAATATTTCATATGAAATAATTCCACAATTTAAAAAATGCAAAAACTCCCAAGCCCAAAAAGAACCGGGTCAGCTTTGTCTGCTTGACTAGTATCCAGTTGGGCGGAACCAGAAAAACCGCCAGTTTGGCGCCGTATGCTAGCAGATGAACTAGCAGCAGCAGGAGCAACAGGAGCTACTATTTCATGACCATCGGTTGAGATAGGTTCAACGTGAAGGGCAGCAGCAGGTTTAGTTATATGTTTTATTTCTACTTTTTGGGACTTATTGCATATGAAATTAGTCCCGAATTTGTAATCAACAATTTTTTTCCAAAAAAACTCCCAACAAATACATCCAATATCGTTGTTGTCCCTCTACAAATTTTTGGCGACCTATTTGGATTTGGATTTTTATTTATTTATTTAAGCAATAAACTGTGTTCACGCCAAAAAGGGCGTTTAATTTCGGGAGGCAGTGTCGAGCGTCAGTTTTCTCCAGATGTCCACATCTCGAGCGCTCGCACTGCCCTTCGCTCCCCTCTCCAACTCTCAGGCAACTCTCCGCCCCGCTCTGTAGCCACTAAGCTTAGATTAGAGTAGTTAGTTATATTTTCAAGTGTCCAATAAATACACGCACGTCGCGCAATAGCCCGAAAGTTTTTTCTACCCGAATTTTGTACCGTATTTTGTTTTTTCAACAATAGCACCAAACCACATAAGGGGAATTCTTTACCGATGTGCCCCTGCTCATATTAAGTGTTAGGCACATTGAATTACAAGCTTAGTTAGTTAGTCTTAGACTTGTTTTAAGTCCATTGTGACTTAACACACTGACTTGTTTTAAGGACATGATGGTTTTAAAAAAGTCCATATTACCCAAAAATTGTAGCATTTATATATCCATCTAAACTTACAAAAGCAGTTAGCCTCTTGAAAATGTAATAAGGGCGTAGCCCAGAGGAAACTATGCCAGCTCCCGGTTTTTTTTTTTATTTGTGAGCGATATTATTTTTATTAAATTTATCCAATTATTTATTTATCCAAGTGCGATTGCAGCCGTTTTAAGCTAAATTTTGCATAGATTTAAATGTGTGCTTGCAGGTGGAGGCATGAAGCAAGAGAGAACGCTATAGTCGGGTGCCCCGACTATCAGATACCTGTTACTCAGCTAAAGGAAGTGCGAGGGAGATTGAGATAGAAAACTTTAATCGGGCATAACTTTTGAACACCATAAAACTGCATTTTTACTTTTCTAAAATCTTGAAAGGTGTAGGCGCCAGACGCCTTTTACAATCCTTTGTGTGCGATTGTGGGCGTTAGAGGGTGCGTGGCCCTCGGCTGAAATAAACTTGCGCTGCGTAGGTAGCCAAAGAATATGTGTGGGAAATCCCAACTTTCTAGCTTTTGTAGTTCCCGAGATCTCAGCGTTCATACAGACGGACAGACGGAGAGACGGACATGGCTAGATAGACTTGGCTAGTGACCCTGATCCAGAATATATATACTTTATGGGGTCGGAAACGCCTTCTTCTCCCTGTAACATACTTTTGCACGAATACAATATACCCTTTTACTCTACGAGTAACAGGTATAACAAGAGAGAACGCTGTAGTCGGGTTCGTGTCCCGACTATCTAGTACCCTTTACTCGGCTGAAGGGAGTGCGAGGGAGATGGATATATACCATTTTTTTGATTACGTATAACTTTTTAATTAATAGTCCAATTTGAAAAATATCTTCTACATTTCGATAGGTATAAATATACACAACAGAATTGCATTTATACTTCGCTGCGTAGGAAGCCCAAGAATATGTGTGGAAAATCTCAACCTTCTAGCTTTTGTAGTTTCCAAGATCTAAGCATTCATACAGACAGACAGACGGGCAGACAGACAGACGGACAGACGGACATGGCTAGATCGACTCGGCTAGAGACCCTGATCAAGAATATATATACTTTACTAGCTATACCCGGAGCGACTTCGTTCGCTCAAAATTAGTTTGCAGTTTGGAAATTAGGTTGTCACGACTTTCTTATATCTTATTTGCGCGTTTGTTGAAACCCTTTGCGTAAACATCCTTTCTAGAAGATTCTTCAAGAGAGAGAATCCGAAGGCTACTGGTAGAGCTATATAATAAATGAATGCGATCTAAGTAAAAGAAGTGAATTTTTATACCTTCTATCAGTTACAATGTTATCAATGCAATTTTAATTTGCGCGCAAGTGTACACTTGTTTGTAAATTGGAATTTGTTATTTTTAAATTTATTGTTTTGAATGAAACGAAAACATTTGTACACACACGAAAAGATTGACATCCCATACAAAAGTAGCGAAGTAACTTATTATTTTCCGATTCCACATTTGATTGATAATTATTAATTTTAAACTCTTCCAATTTTGCATTGGCTGAAAGGAAATAAATCATTTTATTTGTATTTAAGCACATTATCTACTTTCGAATAGAAACATACACACACATTGTGTGTATGTATTGCATTGTACAAATCAAAACATCCCTGTAGTTCGGCGGGACTGGTCCCGAACTAGCGAAATCGCCATACACCGGGGGCTTGGGACTAACTCCCGTTCATACCACCCGCAATATAAATTTCTATCCACTTTTACCACGGCATGTCCTAGGCGGTGGTCATATGGCGAAGTTCTGCATTACCTTTCGCCACAAAAGGGACCGATAGGTGGTCCCATATTATACCCCTTTTCGCCACAAAAGGGGCCACCTATCGGACCATCTATCGGACCACCTATCGGTCCCTTGTGTGGCGAAAAGGGGATTAAATGGGACCACCTATCGGTCCCTTTTTGGGGGAAAAGGGGTATGAAATGGGGTTGGTGTTTTCAATACCAAAAAAGCTGAATGCTATGAAACTTCCCAAGAAAAAATACTTTTTGTTAAATTAATTTATTGTATTATAAGTAGACAATTTTTCTATTTTTTTAATTTATATTTATTGAACAAATTCCTCTGCTGACACGTTTTTGTTGAGTTCCTCATTGTTGTTATTATTTGATTTGGATTTATTTTAAAAAAATCGTTTCTTTTGCAATTGAATTGCCTTGGGAATCAATATTTCTGCATTACCAGATTCTGAAACAATATCTAAAAAAAATAAGATTTTAGTGTTTTAAAATAAAATGAGAACAGAAACTAACTATGGCAAGCCAAAGTTTTAATACCCTTGCAGCTTTCAGAAATAAAATTGTGACTAGAAAAGCATAAATATAAAATAAGAATAACCAACAGTTAAATGTAGACTTATTTCACGCTTTTGAAACTTGAACCGACAGACAGACGGACATGGTTAAATGGATTTACTTTATAGGTTTGAAAAGGTCTCCTTTACTGCGTAACCAACTTCTGGACTAAATTATAATTCCCTCTGCATGGGTTTAAATATATATTTTTAGATTTTGTTATACAAGCCTGTTTACATCAAACCATGTTTTAAAAGTGAAAAGCAGAAAAAGACAGAAAGAAATAGGATTAAAGACAGATGGCATTCTAAGTAAATAGATTGAAATTGAATCAAGAAACTAAGTGTATTATAAAAAATACAGTTATAAAAATAACCTACCGTGAAGTGCACCATAGAAATGTGTAAAGGAGTTTACGGCTTTTTTTCCAGAAAGGCCTTTAACATTAAATCCCACAACAAACTCATCCGTGAGAGCCCTCCGCAAGTTTTTTAAACCCCCTTCTGGCAGCAACAACGATCTCATGGCTTTAATCTAAAAAGGAAGAAAATTTCACTAAAATATTTATATCAAAGAAAAAAGACTTACGTAGGAGTCCTTTGCATCACTATTTCTTCTTCTCCTCTTTAACAAATCGACGAATGTGCCTGTTGCTGTTCATGGCTAAATATCACACATTATTAGGTATTTCACTTGCACAACTCATGGTGTTACTCACCTGTTGACGACACTTCAGATCACAACAAAATATAACACTTTAAATGTACAATAAGACAAATTAAATACAATGTTTACAAAATTTGGCGCAAACGTTGGGTTAGTGATGGTAGCGAGGTTGGGTAGTTATGGCAATCCGTTACGATTAATATTGCGACTACCGATATCGTATAATCGATGGCAATAAAAACATTCGCTAATATTATTTTTGTTTAGTTCTATGTATATAAAATTAGGTACTTATATATTTATTTTATATATCTAAGCACCAATAAAATCCGCTTGTTATGGAAGGAAAGAAAACGTTTTGCTACTGAACCACCGCTATTGTTAAAAATATTGCTGCAGCTAAATTGCTCATTATTAAATATAAATAATATAAAAAGAAATAAAATTCTATCATTTATTATTTTATTTTATCTCATTATTAAGTTTTTATTTTATTATTTTAACTTTTTTTAAATTTGTTTTTTATATAAACAAAATAAAGTTGTATTCGTTATTAAAATCATTATATACTTGTCAAAAATTTCATTTTACAATTTTTTTAACTCATATAGAAGTGTTCACTCTCCGATAACTCTTTTGCTCTTGTAAAAAATACACACGCCACCTATTGACCCTTAAGGGACCACTGGGTGGTCGATCCCTTTTCTACCCCGAAAGTGCCACCGGCCCCCTTGAGAACTACAGGGATTGTACATGTATTGTACATATATATAAGCAAATCAAAACATATCCAAATATACATATGAACATACGTATTTGGTCAAAAGTTCGAATCTTAAGATTAATATTTAACTTGGAAACATTTGGCTTTGCTTACAAAATTTGTAATAATTTTCTATTTTCTTCCATGGTGGAAATTAAATAAGGTACTTACCTCTGCTACAAAATGAAAAATAAAACATAAGCATTTGATCCACAGGACTGACTATTGATCGAAAATCATTTTGATCGGAGTTTAAGTTTTTAAAATCCAAAACAAATTTAACTTAAATTGCCTCTTTCCCCTCCCCTTTCCTTGCAGCACTACCCTTCCCATTTCTTGGCTGTTGCTCTCTCGGCCGTCGCTCTCTTGGCATCCGCTCTCTGGGTTTCGCTCTCTCGGCAGGCTCCCACAAAATGCAACGCAATAACTTAGGAAATCTAAATAAATTCGTTAAAAATACTTTAAAAAATGTTAAAAACTTAAAAAATGAATGTGATCCAAGTAAAAGTGGTGAACTTGTATATTTTTTTATCAGTTACAATGTTATCAATGCAATTTTAATTTGCGCACAAATATGTATACTTTTTTGTAAATTGTAATTTGTTGTTTTAAAATTTGTGGATTTGAATGAAACAAAACCTTTGTATACACAAAAGTAGCGAACTAACTTATTATTCTCCGATTCCACATTTGATTGATAATTATTAAAATTAAACTCGTCAAATTTTGCATTGGCTGAAAGGAAATGAATAATTTTATTTGTATTTGAGCACATTACCGACTTTCAAGTAGAAACATAAACACATATTGTGTGTATGTATTGTATTGTAAATGTATTGTACAAATCAAAACATATCCAAATATACATACGTATTTGGGCTAAAGTTCGAAACTTAAGATATTTAACTTGGAAACATTTTGGCTTTGTTTACAGAATTTTTAGTAATTTTTTAACTTCTTCCATGGTGGAAATTAAATAAGGCTCTTACTTCTGCTACAAAATGAAAAATATTTGTTTAAAAAAATACCTAAGCATTTGATCCACAGGACTGACTATTGATCGAAAATCATATTGATCGAAACAGCAGTTAAAGTTTTTAAAATTCAAAACAAATTTAACTTAAATTGCCCTTTTCCCCTCCCCCTTCCACACAGCACTACCCCACACCATCGACAGTTTTCTTTGCTGCTGCTCTCTCGGCCGTCGCTCTCTTGCCATCCGCTCTCTGGGTTTCGCTCTCTCGGCGGGCTCCCACAAAATGCAACGCAATAACTTAGGAAATCTAAATAAATTCGTTAAAAATACTTTAAAAAAATGTTAAAAACTTAAAAAATTAAACTTAAGCATTTGGGCCATAGAATAACCATTTACCAAAAAATCATCTCGATCGGAGCAGCGGTTTAGATTTTTTAAATCAAAAAGTTAATTTTAAATGTATGGGGGATATCGAAATTTCTTTTAGATTTCTAATTAGGCCCTGTCAAGACCTAAAATTCTGCAAAATCAAAATTTCGAAATTCCAACCACTTTAGAAGCTAAGCTTAAGTAAATATAATGATTTTTTGCTCCAAATATGGATATTGGGGCTGGGGCCACTGGGGGGACATGTCGGACCTTGGTGGGCGCCTACGCCCCCAATGGAATACTGTGAAAAAATTTGGCTGCTCTAGCTCTTATGTTTTAGACTGTGGTCGTATCCCCCTAAAAATCGGAAATCTTTAGAGATGGGGTCGGAAACGCTTCCTTCTAACTGTTACATACTTTTGCACGAATACAATATACCCTTTTACTCTACGAGTAACGGGTACACAGAGAAAAAAATACCAAAACTGGTCATCATTCGGGTATTTTTTCATATCAATTTCGGCCAATATGAGGCCATACCAAAATGATATTTTCGAACATACCAAATTGGTATTTTCGAACATATTAATAAGGTATTTTTCATACAAGATTGTTATGATCTCATATCAAATTTTGCTACAAAATTTTGTATTGTATTTTCTCTAACTCAGAAAAGCATTCTGCCACGAAAAAAAAAATGTGGGCATGGCTCAGAGGCCAAGGTCCTGATATTATTTTGTGCTCGGGGGAACGGGGTTCAAATCCCGCTCACAACACAACAGAACTTTTTTTTTTATTAGTAATCTTATCATATTAACTTTTTACCACAATTTTGTTCTTAATATTGTTAAGGAAATGTTAATTATGCGACTTAAAAACTTTTTACTTTCTCTGCCTTAGCCGGTTTTGAACCGGGGTCCTCTCGCATAAGAGTCGGATGCGTTACCTATTGGGCCATCGCGACAAGTTACACGCGAGTATATTAGCTAAACTTGAATGTAAAATTAGCTCGTTTAAGCATGCTCAACTTGTAAGTGTGACCACAGCATATAAAGCGTTATAATACCATTGTATACCAGAAATACAACAAAAATACAACTTTACAGCCATACTATTTTTTCGAATACTTTTCGATGCCCCTTTTGATATGAAAATCATATCAATCTTTGAAGTATTCATATTAATATGTTACGGATTCATATCAACATGGGTAATTGTTATGATTTCCTATCATATTGGTATGAATTCGTATTACATTTATATGGAAAAATTGATATGTACAAATTGAGGAGACAATATCAATCTGGTATTGTTCCGTTTTTTTCTCTGTGTATAAATTTGGATTTTCTTTATATAAAGCACGACTACGAAGCTTCGTGTTGTTTTTGATGGATCTGCTAAATCAACTTCTGATAGCTCTCTCAACGACTTACTTCTGGCAGAACCAACATTTCAACAAAAAATCATCAATTTACTGCTTCGCTTTCGATTTTTTAAAGTTGCCTTGTGTGCCTTGTAACCAAGACAGCTGCCTTCTTGGCTATAAGGGCCATGCTTCAACTCTCTTACGATGAGGAGGAATCATTTCCTAATGGATCAAAAATTGTTCGTAGAGGTTTCTATGTGGGTGATTTAATATCTGGTTGGGACTCAGTTGAAAAGGTGAGAGAAATTCGTCGTAAGGGGAAGGAACTACTCTCGCGATGCCACTTTCCAATCCGCAAATGGTGTTCGAATGAGTCAGCAGCCCTGGAAGGAGAGTCTGAATGCGACAAGGAGCAGCTAATCAAATTTCACGATGGATCGGATATCGCCGAGGCATTGGGATTAGTCTGGCATCCATCTTCTGATCAACACCTATTTAATTTTTCTCAACTGACAACGACCCACTAAGCGGGTTGCATTGTCAACGATTGCCAAATTCTATTTTTTTTTTACATGTGCATTTTATTTATTGGATCTTCTCGAAATTGAGACTAACAATAAGCATATAAAATCTTAAATTTAAAAGCTATCTGACAGTCAAGATGACTGACGTGAAATTAAAGGGCTCCAATAACTATTGCTGAGCTGGAAGGTCATTTCGTTGCAATCGGGTCCGGTATGAGACCCTGGATAGGCCCCTGGCGAGCTGGTTTGGATGAGAAGTTAGCTTGGTGTGGTATTTTGTTTTGATATTTCGTCTTATACGGGCAAAATGTCAAGATTTCTGTGGATGTTGTCGTTCCGAACATACCAAGGTGCCCCAGTGATAGTTCTCAAGATTTTTGATTGTGCTCGCTGGATAATGTCGATGTTGCTGCTGCTCGCGTTTCCCCTCAACTGGGAGCCGTAAGTCCATACTGGCTTGAGCGTTGAATTGTAGAGCAGAACCTTGAAGTCCAGGCAGAGGGGGCAGCGAGCATTAAAGAGCCAATGGAGGCTATTGGATATTAGTTTTAGATGAATTTTTTTTAGCTCCGATATGTTTCCTCCATGTAAGTCTCCTGTCTAGGTGAACGCCAAGGTACGTTACATCGTCAGCTTGTGGAAGTGGCGTGTTACTCAGAGTTAGCGGGGGACACGTTTGTCTGTTAAGAGTAAACGTTATGTGTTTACACTTTTGCGTATTTATTTTTATACTCAATTCTGATAACCATCTCTCCACTACCACGAGGTGATCAGCTAGTAGTGCTGTAGCCTGAATTGGGCATTTGGACCGACTTATGATCGCGGCATCGTCTGCGAATGTGGAAGTAGTTAGCCGGACGTTCGTGGGAATATCTGCGGTGTAAAGGAGAAATAAAGTTTGACCAAGCGCGCTACCTTGGGGAACTCCAGCCTCCATAAGGTAATCGTCGGATGTTGTAGTGTTGCATCTCACGGCGAATTCTCTGTTGTAAAGGTACGAT